TTTAAGCTGAACCCACCCCCAATGGTGTAATTATGTGAACGTATTGTTACAAGCTGACATGGCACTTACTGGAAGCTCTGTTGTGATTTACAGAATCTGTGCAGGGAATCCGTGATTGTTGGTGATTTCTAATACATTTCTCAACAACGAAATATCATTTCCGTTTCAAATCCGTTTCAAATATCTAACATGCTGTCAAATGAAGATTATGGATTATGTTTCCATGTCCAGTTTTGCATCAAAATTTGTCGCAGTGGTGGACCGTAATTATTCAGTTTGTCTGGTCTTGTTATCTAATCACTTCAGAGGTAGCGGCGAGTTATTAGAACAAGGAACTGCAAAGAACAACATTGCGGGTCCAGTCATATATTCTCTATATATCACCCAAGCAGTAATCCTGATATCTGATAGATGCGCATTTGCTTGTAGCGTGGGATGTCAGGAAGCCAGCGGTATTTGACGTTCGAGAGGATGTAGTGACGGCACACGTCGGTTCTGAAATGTGCAGATATAGAGACTGGTATTACTGAATCCACACGGCACACACAGCACACATTCGCACAGGTCGGGTGACACAGGGAAGAAGACCGGAGCGTGGCAACAACACACGTGTATTCAACTAAAACCGAAACCGGACGTGTCGGGGGTACCAAGCTAGGTCAAGGTCAATCAGGGGAGTGTACAAGAAGGCTACTCTTTCCTGTCGGGGGCTCGTGGTGGCTCGTCCGTCGTACCTGCAATAGGAAGAGGGAGAGGGAGAGGCACACACCAGGTCATATGATAAACGTGCAAGCAGATACAGTCAAGTTTCAACTGCGTTACATGCTCTGAGTTCAACTTAATTGTCATTTTCAAGGTCAGAGCTGCCATCAATTTAAAAAAATGCAGTGAAACAGTGTGTACGATTTCTAGTAAATGCGTTTGTCGTACCCTGCCTCTGGCTGCACCTTATTTCCGTTGATAACAGTCGAAGAATCTCCGCGTGGGGTTTGCACACGGGTTACCACGGAGGTACCCAATTGTTCACAATAATTTAAGTAGGAAAGGATCTCCACGTGATAAAATGTACTTAAGTTGAATGGTTTTTCCTAAACTAAATGCCAGGCATTGTGATTAGTGTTCAAACCGTACCGACCAGAGGAAATATTGTTTCCATCTCTTTTGAGGGTCATGATCACAGCTGATAAATCTTCAGAGCCGAACGTTTTGGTTGCATCTCAGTAAAACCCACACTCTCATGGTCATTTCAGCTGGCCTTCACGGAAAGAGTACAGCTCTACTCTTAGCAAAACGTCACAAAAAAACACGTAGTTTGATCAAGAACTAGGTACCCCTGCCCTCAGGCTCATGTTTATGTTTGAAGTACACTCCATTCTACTCTAAAGCCAAAGATTCTCTTCTCTTTCACGAATAGCTTTATTCACGTCGCCATTAAAATAGCACACATGCAAGCCAACATAAGTGATAAGTCGATTTCGGTTTGAGTGACTGTCGTTCTAATTCTGACCCCACCATGATTTGTGTTCACAACAAGAATAGTCATTGATCCTCACATTCTCTCTCAATCTCAAGCTGCTCAAGTCGAAGGAGGAAACTTCCAAGTCAATGAACCATTGTCAGCTACATCACCGATGCACACATTTGAGAATATCACTGGTTGTGGGCATGCTAATGGATATAATCAACGGGTTGGAGTATTTATTTGGCCAGGGGTATGCTTACGGAGTAAGTGAATTGCAATTGGATGTTTTAAAATTGAATTGCGAAGTACATGATTACATGAATAGTTAGAAATTTGGCAGTATTATCAGGATATCTGATACTATTCAACAGGATTTCTGAGAGGGATTTCTTCTCCAGTAGACCTGCTAAATGTGTCCTGTGAGCTTGGTAATTTTATACCAGCTCAGAAAAAACGTGGGGCCTAAACTCAGCGTTGATCAGACTTATTCTCCAAGAAATTCAATACACCATTGACCGCACTTTCAGTCATTTCAGACGAGGCTTTTTGAGGGTCCCAAGCCGCCGAGTTTAAATGGCAGCACATGTGAAAGTCAATCCATATACGCTTATCAAAACGCCAGAAGGCTAGAGTCGCAAACAAAAGAAAACCTGTCAATGCGATCTCGTGTGAATGACAGCCAACCTTGACTTTTTGCAAGTGAAGTCTCAGCAACCGGGGGGTTAGTGGAGACTTGACTGAAGTTCGCTTTTGGTTCAGGGTCAGGACACAATGGTGCCTACCTCTAAAGAAGATTGAAACTGTTTTCAATCAACTGAAACACGTCTGGAACCGATTGACAAGTCTGAAACCAAGACTGAGGTTGCTCCAACAAACGTTAATTGATTGATTTAGGCCTAAATCCCTGGCCAGAAGAAGTAGAACATTACTGTGAGCCCCTACGGTGTTGTTGGCTGATCACGTAACATTTAGTCCTACATAAACAATGCCACTAATTCTTTAATATTATTCATTTTATTCTACTTTGCTCGTATTGAGACATACAAGTTTGAACGAAATGGATTTATCCGACAAAAATGTTTTTCTCACTAGCTGGTTCAAAAGACAATATGGCCAGATGAAGGTGGACTGATCATGTGAGGTTTTGCTCACTTGGTAACTAGCGCCAATTTGAGGGGAAAAGGTAGATTAACAGACTATATTTACAAGCCCACATTTTGTCTAATCAAAGATACATGGCTTTATCAGTATCAAGTCCTGCGTGAATACCAAAATGATGAAGTGACCCACAGGGTTCAGAATCCCAATGTCAGATGTCCTGCGCAGAGACATTTCGTTCACAGCTCGACTATTACCCCTATGATGTCAAGTATTCATACGAGTGGACCTTCCATCTGAGAAGTCATCACTTCTGCAGCCAATCAAAACGTGTGACCAATTGACATGGTGATATATCCTGTCTAAGAGCGAGTTAGTCACACTTCTGATCGATCGATCGTGATCCAACGGTTGTTTGTTCAAACTACTGGCCGGATTGTCTCGGGTTTGTGGCATATCCGTGAGTATTACATCCATGAGCGTATTACATTGGAACGGATGGCAAGATTAGATCGTATGAAATTAGAAAAGTGAGGTGGACAAAATTGATAAAATAAACAAGGGAAGTATAAAACAAAGTGTATATGGGCTACGATGGAATGAGAATGCAGGTCACGTGAATTTCGAGACAAATGGGGCTGTAATATCCAGTTCAAAGAGCTACCGAATGTCACCAACAAGACATTTTGCCCGTGCAAAGGTAGTATAGAAGATGGATACTGACAGTCTCGGCAGCTTTCAGGATGTAGCCGTAGTTGGGTGTAAGCATAACTTTATGCGATGCTGAGAGGTTCGCAATTAAAAAGAATATTGGGAGTTCAGGTAGCTCAGCAGAACGACCATGTTGATAGGTTTTATGTGACTGCTAGTATCCGTCGGATGTTTCGTTGTTGAACTCTTGGGGCTACCAGTGTCTGAATTCTGGGGCCATTTGGTCATATGTTCTGTTCTGGTGTCTCATGATTTGGCCGGTATATCTCTATCTGCAGGAACAATCGGACTGTTAGATGGCCTTAGTTTTGACCAGCAGAGGCGACGGGTCTGTGTCAAGGAAACAAGTGGCGTTCCGAAAAATAGCAAGGGCTGCGTGGCATTCGAAAGCCGATAAAAATTGTACCATTTTGGGGGGGTTTGAATCATGTAAAACAACGTCTCGTTCTTCAGTTGTAATAAACTCAGTTGGGTGTCCAGCTTTGATTAAAATATCCCGCTCTCCAAGGTCTTGCGCTGTGGTTTCATAAACTCTATTAGAAAAGAGTTGCAACCGGTATCTGTTACGGGTGGACTGGTGCAAGTTTTCTGGAGTACATATACCGTCCGGATCGCATGGACTTTCTGTGGAAGCTAAGGGCGAAAGGACCACCCTAACGGTAGATCAGCAAGACATCAAGGAATTGCATGCTGCTAAATGTTCACCGAAGAAAATTACCTGATATTGCAGCTTGCTTGTCGTGGCCAGACGTAGGATCTTCCAACCAAATTTAGAAGAGTTGAGAATAAGTTTGTAACCACGTTCTTCGGGGCATAACTGTATGAAGGAGGCGCCACCAAGCTATTGCGCCGCTTTCATCTACTTTAGCCCAGCAAGTTGACATACTGACGAAGTCTTTCATACTTGGGTTATAAAAGATAACTTTTGAAAATTATCAATAGTTGAATAAACACATGTTTTATTGTCTGATAGTGTCCATAATTTATGATGTTGGAAATGAGGCAACATGAGCGAGTCATTGTAACTCATTTTATCAGTCTTATTCATCCCGAATTTCTCCTGTAGGCTGTAAAACGCCCCACATCCGAAGCAGTGTAGAGTGGTTTCCTTTGACTACTACAAATGGTTTTATTACACGTCATTAAAAGGCATCTGTTGCTTCGGGTTTCTACCACACCTCTCAGAGTTTTTAAAATTTCAATTCATTGGATGAACGGCTCTCTAGACCAGCATGTCACCCACAAGTTCACGCCTGATTCGCGGAACCTCGTTTTCACCACAAAGTCGTTACAATTCTGGCGAAGTACGCTCATTTGCATGCCGAATAGTAACTTAAATAAAAATTAAAGCTCAATAACAGCATAAACGGGAGATTCAGCTCGGTTTCAGGCAATTCTCTCGCCAAAACCAGATTAGAAAGCAAATTCGTGCAATTTGGGTTCACGAAGAACATAGGATTGACCAAAAGTCGAGGAATGTCCCTACCTGATGAGCCCCAACGTGGACGAGACTGGTCATGGGCTGTCGAGGAGTTTTCAGCAACCACGAGGGGAGTGTAATACGTTCAATGCTACATTTCAACTCCACGTTTCAATTCCATTTTGGCAGTATATTTTTTTCTAGTTCCACTCACCAAACCACATGCCTACACTTCTGGGTCTAGATGTGAAACAGAAACGGATCAATTTTAAATGAACTTACCCACATACACTGCTTCGTAAATTGTAGAACTTTAATTCATCTCTGGTACTACTGGATGATCAGCTACGTTGCAAACTTCAAGTTGTCGTGTACTGCGAACCTCTTCATATGCATTCATCCAATGGGACGACGTATGTACCGCCCGAATTCAAGCATTTTGATGAATCTGAAAAAGAACTGAACAGGAATGAATCGCCCATTTTTGCAACCCTACTGGTGAGTCACCATGAACTGGCCTCGTTTTTTGTTCGGAACCAAAAGAATACTTCTATCTTAGCTGGAGTGGCTTGATAGTAGTAAGTATAAAAAACCGGTCTCATGCTTCCTACCTATACAGCAATTCTAGAACCTCTTCTAGTGAGCTGTAGTCAGAGGGGGGCGATTTGAATTTCGCCAACTCGATGACAGTGATAGCCTGTTTTTGGTTAGAAGCTTAAAAACGAAGAAGTATTGTTTGCTATCCTCAATAGTTCAGGAATCAAGAGAACACTGCACTACTGGCAGCGAATGCAAATTCGATGGACTACGCCTATCGGTGACCTGCAGAAAAGGGACGAAAATAAAAGTGGACTGAGAAGAGTCATCGGTAACCTCATGAGTAGTGTGTTCCGTCAGGAAAATGACCCATCTATCGAGAGTACAGGCGACAGGTTTTGGCAAAAAGACTTTCGCATGACTGAGCATCTGATTAATCGACTTTTTGTCTTTTCTGAAAGAAGTTCCAACAAGCACATGCCCAGCTGTGTTGTGTTTATGCGGGGCCTCTATCTTCAAAAGAAACTGGACGCAGGCGCGCTAGCAGTTATTCTTGCTAAAATTGTGGTCTACACTGAGAAACGTTTAAGGGCTTGAAAAGGATAATGAAATGGTGCAGACATCTGCTCACTCAAAGACGGCGAGTAAATCCCTGGACTGCTTGGTTTAGTCGAAAAGAGGGCACCGAGATTATTCTTGATTTGGATATTCGTTAAGGGAACTCGAAGTACATTCGAGCCAGTTTTTAATGGCCACTGAAATAACGATGACATTTTCCGCTACTCGATAACTGACTGGCACTCAGATCATCGACCAAATTGTATTCCACACAGGCGTGTAAAGTTACCATAATCCGTGACAATCCAACAGGAGATTAAATGACAAGCGTTTTTCATTCCTCAACTATGCATGAATTTCCTTCCCATTGAGAAGTTAGCCCGATCCATCTGAACAGTCCTCGACCTTTTTCGATGAAAGAAACTACTTGCAAGGTTGCTGAAAACTCTTTCTTAGTGGACAACCAGTTTTGCTCTTCTTGGGATTTATCAGGTAGGCTTAGTCCCCAGGTCCCATGTGATCTACTTGAACCCCATTGGTCCAGATTACGAAGAGTATACTCATTTGCATAAGAATTCGGTTTTCACTAGAGACTTAACTGAATCTCTTGTTAATGATATTCCTCAACTGACTGTACACAGGCCACCTCATGTTTCAGTTGGCACGATATGCGAGATATCTCAGTATATTTCAACCACAGGAATTATTCACAAGGTTGCTGAAAACTCTTCGACAACCCACAACCGTTCTCGCCATTCTTGAGGTTCATCATCTGGGTATTTTCCCCGAGTTTTCGTTAAATTTATGTTTTACTGGAGCCCAAATTGTAAGCGATTCGTGAAATGAATAGTAAGTGAAGCATTCATTCGAGAGCATGGTCCATTCGAACTACAAAATACTCGGCCAAATAGTTCATTGGCCTACAGTGGAGTCAGTCATTTGAGGAATATTCAGTTATCACTACTGAGAAACATTCCTGCAAATCAACTATCTGATCATCAACTACCGTCTGCGTTAAGTGGAATGTGCTGTCATGCACTTGTACAACGATTTCAAATGTCCCAAAGGTTGTCTGTATTCGTAAAAACAAGCCCATCTCGCGTAACAGATATAGAATCGACGCCTTCCATAAATTCATGGCAAGATTTCACGTTGACATCACAGTTCGTTTCCTGTCCTGGAACAATGATTCTGGTGAGATCGCACCAAACGGGAAAAGCCCTGGAAGTTCCACTCTTAGTAGAGCTCATTAGCAGCCTTGTCCGTGTTGGGGTCTGAACTCAGAACACTCGACGTGCGAAACAGGCGTGTTACCACTACTCCACCAGCGCACGCACACTTCGCTTCTCAGCAGGAGCACGTGTTTACGCCCAAGCGATTCGGCTGGTTCCCCCGACGACTCGAACACGATGACCCAGTAAATGCATTAGTGCATATTCGATGATGGTCATAACACAAATCAGAAGGTATATGCACTAATAAAAGTTTGAAGCATGGTTGACAGTGGTGGGTTGCAACACGTATAAAAATAAATACAATGCGAAATGGGAGCAAATTGAAAAAAGGAACTTATCGTCTGTGAGAGTTCCTTGATGAAAGTCCGAACGGCGGGAACGTGTTTTCTCCGCAGTGCGACTGCTATACGTGTCCCATAATTGTCCGTAGACTGTGGAGTGTGACTGACTTCCAGCTCCCTGCGCGCGTGCTCGAGTCTGAGTGTGCTGACTGTGTTCGGTTTCCCCATATGTAGGTCCCAGTGCGTGTACGTGGGCGCGTCAGCACATGAGTGGTTGCTACGCTCACTAGACAGCACAGACAATCGATGTCCGACGAGTCAGCTTAATGTGACATGGTTTTTGAGTATGAAAAAAGACAAGTCTCGTGAACCAGAGAACGACTGTGAGCTGAACAGTCAAATATGTGGGTGACTAGGTCGCTACAAATGTCACATGTCGACCGACGGCCCCACCTGTCAGGGCTTCAAAGTCAAGTAGTTCCAGGGACATTTTGGAACCTGATGTACCACTTGTGGTTAGTTGATGGTGGTTGCCAGATCTGCAAAATTCACGTTCGAATCACCCTCTTTTGCACAGTCCTTGTGTTATCTTGGAACAGTTCTTCTGGTGAGTCCACACCTAAGGGGAGGAAGCAAGGCTCGAAGTTCGCTCGTGTTAGAGCCCGTCAACCCTACTAGGGTTTAAACTCTGGATATCTAAGTTGCAAAGTGAGCTTAGCCATCTCCCACCACAGTTTTCCAAATAAAAGTGGGACCACTATATATGGTTATTATTACAATTCGTCATTGCTTGTTCTTGTGACCTTTATTGTCGTCTGTTATTGCAATTACAAGGTCACTATGAACCTTTTTTCTGTTTTCAGCTTAATAACCAATATGTACCTAATGAAATCAACAACTCAACCAAGTGCGAATTATCTCCAAGTCCCACACAGCCCCCAAGCCTCCCGAAAGAATCACACTGTGTTTCTCTTACTCAGCTGCACTTAATACTATGTGAACGATTGACCCCGAAAAGCATGTGCGATCTGGAATGCAAACAACATGGGAGTTCTTGTACTTTCAATGCTGGAAACACATTTGTTCGAATGAAAGCAGAGGATATTTTGGCCTTTGGACGAATACAAATAGAACTACTTCTTGCTCACTTGATTTTGAAGGACGAACCATTGTTGAATGACTGTGCGATTGTTTCTGCTTCTCCCTCGCCTTTTGTACCCTGTAAACTTCGTTCCCACGGTGAACTACAACAGGTTGGAACCGCACCCGTAGTTGACTCAAATGGTTATTTTTACAACTTACAACACCCAGAAGATTCTCGGCAGGTTTACGAACACCCAGTGCCAATATTCTTTATGAAACCTGTACATTCGAATCCACTCACAACATCAAATCACGTGACACTATGGAATTTACATGACTTCGGGGCTTTTTGTACCCTATTACGCGAAGCTTATCCCACACTTGACCTGGAAACCATGCTCCAACAATGTTATCCAAAATGCCCTTGTTGGAAGGTGAATATCGATCAAGTTAGCAACGTTTGTCGAACGATATTTTCCGAATTGAAAGAAAGCAGTCCTTGTAAGTAAAGTTAGCCTGTGTACCTTTCATCCAATTGCATCGAAAATTCAAATAGCATATCAAATTTCCCATCTTACAGTCCAGAACTTAGTTTGTCAAAAACAGGGCTACTTTGCTGCTTCGGTTGGTTAGCACTGCATTCCCGTCAGGTGACCCTTCTCAGCTCATGAAACTCACTGGTGATAAAAGTCCACCGAGGGTTCTCAATTTCACTTTATTCCTAAGCGAGAATTCGATTACTTTTACTGTGTTCTGGTAAATACTTCGAGCTTAGAACAAAGTTTCAGTGTGAATGCGTACCAATAAGGTAAATCTTTGAAAAAAAACAAGACCAGCTGATCTTGTAAAGTATCCGGAATGTGAGCGTGGACAGTCACTTTATTTGGAATAAGCATTACTCGACGAATGATATGCAAGCCAGGTAAGGAAACTGATCAATGACTGACTGGCAGACCTCCCGTTTGTTGCGACCAGACAGCTGGAAGAGGAGAAGATTCCATTCCAGCATGAATGAAATATAACCCAACTAGCAATCACTACTGGTGTGCACCTCCTGGTGCCCTGGTACAGTTAGACGTAGCATTTGTCTCCGTTCAATACTAATTACTGAAATATCGGACTGTGGCATATATGGTTATTTAATCGAGTGTTCCCGACTTTTCTGAAAAATTACGATGATGGTACTTGGTAGAAGAAGCCCAAATAACTGTCCGTTCGGTCTGTAAAACCGTCGGTTTTATTACAGCTCCAAATATGGACTGGCATGCTTGCACCCAAGACTGTCTGTTGCCCTTTTTGTGGTGACCCGTTCGTGAAACCTACACCTACCGAAAATTTTTCTATTTAATGGTGTAACGGGGGCATGTGAGTAGTATGCTTTCTTCTTGTAAATTTGCTTTGCGTCTCTCTCTCTCTATTGCGGAATTTGTGGAGTCGCTTTGTAACATTTGCTTGAATTTGAACAACAATCAATGAATATCTAGGAAAGTTCAGAAACACGCGTTCAAAGAGAAGGTGGATGTTCAGTTTTTGTAAACAAGATGCATATGAGAGTTTTGCTTCCCTGTCCAGTAGTCTGTAACTGATCAGTTGGTATTTCCTAGTAAATGACTTCTCTTTTCTATGGTAATTCTAGGGTATATTTTTAGCTTTCGAACCCTTAAGGTGAGTTCATTAAGAGAGACTAAGTACGATTTCGAACACAAAAGCTGCCGCACACTAGCCGCACCATATATAGTCATTACCTATTCCGGAGTAAGGGTTTTTTGTAATCCTGGGTTGCCAGTGAGTAGAAGTCCGAATACTAAGTAGAACGGATTCCATGTAGATTCGATGGAATATGTGAAGGCGGTCGTCGGCTTTAGGTAAACGTCTGAAGGTAATCAGCTTCAAGCGGCACAGTCCAAAAGTGATATATATATATAAAGAAAAGAAAGAAAGCGTTCACCTGTAGCACCCTTCCGGTGCCTAGCTGCCATGCCTTCCGAAGGAAGCACGAGGGCTGGGATACTGCCAGGTTGCCCAAGCCTAGA